TTGCTTAGTCTAGGGTGTTAGGGTGCTAGATCAACGAGCTAAACACAAATAAGGTTCATTGTTTGATTGTCTCCATTCATGTTTATGCTTACTGCCTGTATTAAACTAGCTAATTAGTTCTTGAAACTAGGTTTAATCTAATCATCAACAGTGCTTAGGTTGCTAGAAACAACATGAATGGGCAATTTGTCCCTAACCAGCGAAAGTATATGTTAAGGAAATTTGTGAACTTATCGAATCAGTGCCTGATATTTGTCTTCATGTTTTAGTCCAAACGAGAGTTTAAGTATTAATACTGATTGTTAAAAGGGGAGATACCACGGGAGTGGGTCAATCTTTATATGTCTTTCTAGTTCTAGACTTGCGCTTAATAAAACCTTGAATAGATGTTTGGCTCATGATCGTTTTACACCCAATCCTTCACCCTATGCTAGCATCTCTTAATCATCTGAAAACCTCAAACCAACTTGTTAATTGCTTGTTATGATTTCTTATTTTAAAACCCCCATATTGTTTTAGCTTAATACTGATCCTGTAGAGATAAAGTGTAAACTGATCCTCTGAAATTGAATCTCAAATGCTACATTTACATTGTTAGCTTGCAGTAGTAAAGACACAATTTTAGTGTATCACACGTGCCGGCGCCGGAGGGTTCCATCCTTAAGGGTTCAGATGGTCTCTGCCTCCCCAATTCTCTCGAGTCCTTGCAGCCTTTCTTTATGGCTATGGTGTGGTTCCTGTTGGAGGTGTCTCAGTCGCCCCTGGTGATGGCGGATGATTCCGGTGGGTCGTCTCTCTATGGAGTCAAGGTGTGGTGTAGTGCTCCGTAGAGGTTGGTGGTTTTGGCGTCTAGGGTAGTGTAGCAGTTCGTGTCGTCAATTCCGGATTTATCTCATTTTATAGCTCCGTGGTTAAGGTTTCGGGCTAGGTTTAATTGTGGTGCTGATGGTGGCTTAGTAGCTATCGCCAGGGTTTGAGTCAGGTGGTTGCTTGTCTTTCGTCTCACCACCTTTGTGTGTGTGTGGAGAGGTTCCTTTAACAAGGATTTTTCGGGTGGTTGGGTATGCTTCTATTGTAGTGCACGTAAGTCGTTCTCTTATCCAAGGTTTTTGGACCGAGAAACGGTTCCCTTTGTCGAGTTGTGAAGTCTCCGTGGTGATTGGTCATATCGCTTAGCATGCGAGGCAGCAGTGATATAGATGGTTTGGGTGTGAAAGTTGAGGGTACCGGCTGGATGGCTAAAGGCAGCAGCAGTAAATCTCGATCACTGGCTTGTATTCTAATCTTTGTCTACTTTGTTTTATGTTCTGGCTTTTGCATAGATGCCTTCCGATTTTATGGAGTTAGTTTCGAGTTAGTTTCGGTTGTGTTTTGTTTTTAAGTCATTCATGTGTGGGTTTCGTTCGTCCCTGCGTGGCCTCTAGTTGTTGCTTCCTGTGGGCTTTAGTTTTTCTGGGGCTATTCTGTTGGGTCGCCAGCTCTGTATGTTCTTCGGTTTTTAAATTTGAATGAATCTCAATTTGACGGGAAAAAAAGAGAAAAATGACCAAAATATGTTTTATTAGGGGTTAAATATGCACTTATACCAAGGGTTTAATTTAGACTTTAAAGTTTATAGTTAAGGGATGTAGTTTTGGGGTGGGTTCCAAATTATAATAAATAAATAAAATATTACAAATTTTAATATAAAAGAGTCTATTTTGGCCATTTTATTTTTTAAATGCTATTTTGTGGCAAAAACTTTTTAAAAAACACTAGTTGAGAGAATTTCCCAACCAAAAATTCAGTTTTCCTACCAAAACCGAAAAGTGAGTTTTTTCGCCAAAACCAAAAATCGATTTTCCCACCAAAACCGAAAATAGATTTTTCTGCCAAAACCGAATATTGAGTTTTCCAAAACAGCAAAATCTGGTTTTCTGATAAAATCAAAATTTAAGTTTTTTATGTCAAAACTGCAAAACTGATTTTCTTGCCAAAACCAAAATATTTCATTTTTACGCCAAAACCGAAAGATTGCATTTTCACGCTAAGCCGCAAAATTGCCTTTTCTTGCTAAAACAGAAAATTTTAGTTTTTTTCACTTAAACCGTAAAATTTGATTTTCCCATTAAAACTGAAAACTCAATATTTTGTTTGTGTTAAATTTAGTTAGATTTATAAAGTAAAACAAACAAAAAAGAATTTAAATAAATTTATGCAGAATCATTTTACAAAAATAATTAGAACAGAAATTAAAATAAAAAAAATCAACGATAGCTTAAGTGGGTTTAAATGGATTCGTGCAAAATTTTAGGATCTAAATAAATACCCCAAATAAACCTATTTTAAAATGAGTTTAAATGGTTATGGACTTTTAATGGGATTAGTCTTAAACAGGATGGGTTTAAATTGGGTGGGTTTTACTGTTTAACATCTTTTAAGCTATAACTTGAGCAGAGGTTACTACGATTTTCATCCGCCCGGTCCAATCAAAAAGCGGTCAGATGAATGAAGAAGCCAAACGAAGCTCAAATTTGACATGTACTCATACTCAATGAGTCGTTCTTGTCTTTCCGCACTGTAACCCTCTTGCACTCAATAGATTCTTGTGGCTACGGCCTAAAATGCCGACTTCTACAGAAACCAACAACAACTAATTATTATAAATGAATATCAAAGAGACCAAACAATAGAATGCTGTCGCGGAAATAAGCATGTCAACACCCATTACCTCTCCCCTTTCTTCATAAGTGAGGAGCTAATGTCTCCCAAAAAAGAAAGGATACGTGTCACCACCGGCTGAGAAGCAAAGCCAGTCTTCAAATCAAAAAGCTGGATTGGGGAGATCACCAATGTCAGAGGCTCCAGTCCATTCTGAAAAATTAGGGATTTGCAAAGCGACGATGGGAAGAAGTAATTAACATTAATGTAGTGGGAGAGATGGCAATAAAGAGATAACTGAGATGAGAGTTCTGTTTGTTTAGACATTAAAAGTACAAATCATCTGGATGGCTAATCTGAATGATTTTTGAAATTATAGGCTTAATTTTAAAATCAATCTAAATGGACCAATTTAGACCATTTGGCTGGAGATGGTTTTGCCAAAATAGTAAAATGTCTATTATACCCTTAATATAATTCACAAACTACAAACATAAACCTAATATTATTTTGTAACTCATAAAATAATGAGAAAACTGCATTTTCCCACAAAAACCGAAAAACGCGTTTCCCGCCAAAACTGAAAAACGCGTTTTTCCACCAAAACTGTGTTTTCCCGCCAAAACCGAAAACACGTTTTCCCACCAAAACCGAAAAATGTGTTTTCCCGCCAAAACCGCAAAATGCGTATTTCTCGCCAAAACCGAAAAAGGTATTTTCCCGTCAAAACTGGAAAACTCGTTTTCTCGTCAAAACCGAAAACCCGTTTTTCCGTCAAAACAAAAAACAACACATTTTTCTTGTCAAAGTTGTGTTTTTTCCGCCAAAACCGAAAAACGCATTTTCCCGTCAAAATCGAAAAAATCTATTTTCCCGTCAAAACTGAAAAACGTTTTTTCCCGCCAAAACCGAAAATACGTTTTCCCCGCTAAAATCGAAAAACACATTTTTCCAACAAAAAACGAATAAGCCAATATGTCAAATGCTAATTTTAAAATAGTTTTAATGTATATATTTTAGACTAGATAATAAATTAGTATAGTTAAAATTATATTAAACATATGATTAAATCAAAATAAAGGTATATTTGTAATTTGTTCATTAAACTCATCTTGATGGAAATAGAAAGAAAAAAAAATGAACATAAAATCCATCCAGATGACTTATTCAGATAGCTCATTTGGATGGAGAAATGAACATCCTCTAAAATCTGAATGGATCATCTGGATGGGACATCTAGATGGAGTAGTTGGATGGAGATGACAAATGGAGAAACAAACATGTCCTTAATGAAAACTTTCAATGAGGATTCAATCATTGTTGCGGGCTTGCAGCTGTCTTTGTAAGAACAAATTGGTAATGAATCTGATGAAGCAGTGACATTTGGATCACTAGTGGGAGAATTTTACAGAGTGGGTTAATGATGGAACTTAATAAGAATTAAGATAGTCTCATTGATAAATAAAGTGTTATGTATCGCTCTGGTTTTGGCATGGAAAAGAGCAGAATATTGAGAAGAAGGAAGATGTAATGGGCTGTTTGTTCACTATAACTTTCATGTATGAAATCTTTAGCCCTAGGAGACATACAAATTTGATGTAAAAAAGCATATAAAGCGAATTAGGAGACATACAAATTTGAAAAATCATATTTGGCTATGAAATGTGTATTTTTGAAAATAAATGTTTTAGTATATAGAAACATAGTAATGTTTATATTTTATGAAAAATACAATAGAACAATAGTTCATATAGTAAAATAGAATTAAATGACAAATAACTTATGTAATTTATAAATTTATTTATATTTAACATACAGCCACAATATAGACAACAAACATATATACAAACAATAAAAAATGCCGATCAGTTATGAATGTTATATATTACAAAAATGGAAAAACAGTTGCGTGGATGTACAAATCAAAATCTAGCTTTTTTGGTTTAAATTCATGTTAATTGATAAATTTGGTTCAGTTTGACACACTTTTTAAAACTCATGTTTGGTATGATATTCGATTAGACCGGTTTTCAAAATTATTTAGTTTTAACCAAATTCCGAACTAACTAAAATCTCAAATAAAAATAATTGACTTTATTCAGAAACAACCAAAATTAATTTAAAATTAAATATTACCAAAAACAAATACTCGTTTAAATTCAATAGAATTATCAGAAACCAAACTACCCCAACCAAATTAACTGGACGAACCGAACCCATATATATGGCTATTAGAATGAATTTGTCACTTTTGGTTAGAGTAAACCGAGAATTTGAACCGAATTGGACCGAGTAAGGAGTGGATTGGGTGGGGGTTTAAGATAAACGAGGGAGCTGTTCTCTCTTCCTTCCAAGCATAATAAAATCAAGGATTTCTCTCTAAAGTGATAAAGGAGAGGAACACAGTTCAGTCGTGAAGCGAGTTTTGTCCGTAAGCTATCTTATACCTTAAACCCTTCTTTTCTCTTTTAATTTACACTAAGATTTGGGAAATTTCGATCAACATTTTGTTTATCGGCTGTAAATTGGAAGTCGAAAGGTATAACCTTTATCTATATGAAATTACGCATAGAAGATGTTCGACAAAATGCTTTCTAAAATCTCTTTAGTTCCTTTCCTTCTAATGCTTCCTGTCTTAACACTGCAACATCATATGTTTGTTGCAGGTGTTGTGAACCGGCTGGTACTTGATTTTTCTCTACTTGTGTCCTCCATGCTGTCTTAATATGGTAGCCTGACAAACCTACATACAAGTGCCTCTTTGTGCGGTAAAAATGTCTCTGCTTTGCTCTTCATCTCGTGTAGCTCCTTTGCCATATACCAAACAGTCAAGTCCACGTTTTCTGAAACTCAAAACACGCACCGTAACTCTATGTTCTTCCATCAGCTACCCTAATGTCAGGAATTACATGTTCGCAGAACCACATAAGTTTGGTAGGCTAACAAAGAGTCAGATACTAGTTAGTCCGGAGTCTTTTACTGAAAACAGCACAATAGATATTGACTGGGAAGATCAGGAGGACGTTGAGGATACCGGGTCACCTTGGGAAGGTTCGGTTATGTATAGGAGAAATGCTTCAGTCACACATGTCGAATACTGCACCACATTAGAGAGGCTTGGATTGGGGAAGTTATCCACTGAGGTTTCGAAGAAGAGGGCTTCTGCAATGGGACTTAGAGTGACGAAAGGTGTCAAGGATTATCCGGAGGGCACACCGGTTCAAGTTTCGGTTGATGTCATTAGGAAGAAGAAGAAGCTGAGACTTGATGGGATTGTCAGGACTGTTATCACACTTGGCTGCAACAGGTATAGCTTTCTTATGAACTCATCAAACCTTCTTTACTAGTCTTGTCACTGCATCAACTTTGTTGTTTACTGGTGTTTTCTGGTATGTGTTTGAAGATGTGGTGAGGAAGCAGGTGAGAGCATCTTCTCCAACTTCTCCTTATTACTAACCGAAGAGCCAGTTGAAGAACCGGATGTCATTGATCTAGGATTTACATTCGGTAATGACAAAGCCAGTTCCTTTTCTGGATTGTCGGACGAGGGAGAAGCAGGTGAGGAAGATGATGATGATGATGAGATAGATTGGGAGGATAAACTCTATTTTCCTCCTGAGGTGAAAGAAGTAGATATATCAAAGCATATAAGAGACTTGGTGCATTTGGAGATCACCATGAATGCGATATGTGATCCTGCGTGTAAAGGAATGTGTTTGAAGTGCGGTGCGAATCTGAATAAGAGGAAGTGTGATTGTGGCAGTGAAGAGAAGGATAAAGGATATGGACCTCTTGGGAACCTGAGAAAGCAAATGCAACAGAAAGATGGTCTTAGAAACTAAACCTCATCATTACTTCTCTTTTTTTGGGATTTGTATCTTCTCTTTCTTGGTTACTGTCATAAAACCTCACTCTTTTGTACCAAAAATTTCAGTAGATAATCTGAAGTGACTAAAGCTCAATTCAAGCTCATCATTCAGCGTGTGAATGCTAAGCAAAGCATTGGTCTCATTTGCAGATTTCCGTTTTTCTGGTGCTAGATTGGTCTTTGTTGCGTTTTTAAGCAAGCATTGATCTCATTCCCTTTGATCTCCATAATATTGGCTGATTATGTTTGCTTAGATAACGAACTTAATGTTCATTTAAGCCTCTCTAAGGAACACACAATGCACGATGCACATGTGTAATATTCACCGCTTAACTCTATGAGAACACTCAGCTGTGTCGAAATTGACAGCTGCTCAATACTTGTGTGGTCATCTTATAACAGTACAGCCTTCCTGTCACTTCATTACATTGCATAGAGTCATTACTGATCCTAAATTGCGTTGTAATTTGTCTTCTTTGACTAACCTATTCTATGTACTTGTTTATATTAATTTGTTAGTAGTGCCTTTTTTATTATAGAGTGATGAACAGGCTTGATAGCAATATCCTCAAGCTGACAAACTGCAATTTGTTCAAAAAAAAAGAAAAAAAAGGACGAACTGCATTAAAAAGACCTGGTACGCCGTTATTTAATAATAACGGACCAGTGGGTCCATTTAATTCGGATTCAAAAGAGTTGAAAAATTAGACGGTTTATATGGCGGGTTGAGTCAACCTATGCAATAGTGCAACACATGGGTAATTCGTGAAAACCTAGATAACAAATTATTTTAATTGATCTTCTCTTTTAAAGAACAGAGTTAATATGATCTAATGGACCACATATTAAATATTAAACTGATAAGAACAGATTACTACAGATGAACATAGCTAAAAGACTGAGAAAGATATGAATTGTGAGAAGGGGTGGCATCTTCTTTTCCTCATGCCTTCCAATTTTGTATTGTTAGCGATGTGGAGCTTGAAGAGTAATACACTACAAGACAAATGAAAAGACTCTCTCTAGCTCAACGGGTTTGAATAAAGCTTTACCGACAAGAGTCCTAAACAACAAGTCTTTTGGTTCTTGCCAGAGTGTGCAGCGGAGTCTGAGAAGAAGAAGTTCCGATTCTCCATTCTCGTGGTCAGTATACTTAATCTCATTTGATTACGTGTTATCTTATTTGAAATTCTAAATCTTCTTCGCCTAAGTGAAGCAGATTTTATCTGGAAAGTAATCAGAATCGGCCACGGAAGAAGAGGGGATTGTTCAATGCGTGTCTTGTCATGGTACTAGGTTTAGCTTGATCGGTTTGGTTTCTATTAGCACAGAAACTGTTTTGGATATTAAAAAAAAAACTGTTTACCTAAACAGCGTCTAATCTTAATGTCTACTGAAAAATTATTAGAGGGGGATTCCAAATCTGTAGCAGAGCATTTTGAATGCCTCGTCGTGTGTGCCAAAGATGGGGAATGAATAACAAATAGTTCAAGTTTTAAATAAGAACTATCTTTCTTACTCTGTTACTCATATCGATGTTGTCACTTGTTACTATATTTTGAGAATGATGCAGTTGTGGCTCTGACTTTAAGCAAAGGTACTTCTTAGGTATATAAGCACGGACAAGTCATAATGGAATATACATCTCTTGGTTAACTAGTAAGTAGTAACCACAGTTTTCTGTATGTTTTCTTCGGTCTGTGAACTCCTTCAAAACTTTATTTGATTTGTATAGAGGCTGTTGAAACGTTGAAGTACAGTGTCTACAACCTTTGTGGCTTTCATATAGCTTAATGTGATTCTTTATGTTTATTATATAATCCCATTGGTCTTATATTGATCTTTATGTTTATATAATCCCTTTGTGGCTTTGATATAGCGGAATGTGATTCTTTATGTTTATTTAACGTTCCAGTACAATTTGGGGCCCCAATTTTCAGATTTTGTAGCTTCATTTGTAAAATTTGTATATTATTTTAGTACTGTTTCTTGGTATAAATCTTCTATGAGTTCTTTTTGCATTAAAATTTCTTAAAATATTAGATATTTGTTTTTTTCTTCTAATTTTGTCTTCACACACAAAATAATATATGTTCAACATACTAATATTGGATATATTTCCCCCAAAATTAATATAATTATTACTCCCTCTGTTCTCGAAAGTAAGATTTTCTAGACTATTCACACTTATAAAAAACATGTTTACAGTTTAATTTATTATTTACTTTTATGTATAATTTGCAATTACTACCCACGAATAAAATTTTATCTATTCAAATTTTTGTAATTATTGGTTCTTAAAAGTATGCAAAAGTACCTTGAAATTTTATAAAATCTTTTTTTGTGGAACAAAGACAAAATCTAGAAAATATTACTTTCCTGAAAAGAGGAAGTATTAATATAAATTAATGTTAAATTTTAATTACTATCTTAGGCCCCTAAACGGTTTGCACGAAACTGAGTACATAATATTGCAATCACTTATCATAAGAAGATTCAAATAATTTACTAACAATTGTGTCTTGCTTAGCATTTATGTTATTCAGTATTATAAATAATGCAACAAATCTGAAACAAACATTTTACTTTTTTATTTCTATGTTAACTTAAGTACTTTATTATAAGGCTTCCTATAAGAGTATTATAGAGTTTTGTTATTAAAGAAAAAGTAACAGAATAAAAAAATTCAAAGATATTATAGTTGAGCATCATATTTCACCACGCTTAACCAAAACGTTGACAAATTGAGCAATAGCATTGCATAGGTTTTTTGTCTTTTGACCCACCACATGTACTTATCGCCTTAGGACCACGTTTCTTTTGACAATTAACTTTGCAATCATTTTCAACGCACAATCCATCTTTGTTTACGAGGATCTGTCGTTGATTACACCATTTTTTGTTTTTTGTGAATTTGTCATAATTCCTGTTTCATATAAAATATTAGACTTTAAACGAAAATATAAAAGAATATATAAAAATAAGAAAAAAATAATTTTCTCTTTTTCTGAATATTTATTTATGAAAGTAAAAATACTGATTTTAAAATTTTTATTTAAGATTTATAGTCAACATAGAGAGAGAGAGAGAGAGAGAGAGAGAGAGAGAGAGAGAGAGAGAGAGAGAGAGAGAGAGAGAGAGAGAGAGATTTAACAAAAAAAAAGCAAATGATTTAAGTACAAAAGTATTTTTTTTCTTTGGTGAAGATATACTCTAAATCATTTCTGAATATTACTAGTAAAGTGAAAGTAGCATATATATATGTTTTTTAATTATTATTTTTTTAAAGAAAGTAACATATTACTAAAAATATGTATAAATATAACATAATATATTATATAAACTTACTTAAAACAATAGAGAACTGATAGTTATGAAAAACACATGTTACCAAATTTGTATGTTTTGAAAATCAAACTGAAAGATAGGTGATAAAATTTAAAATATTGGAACAGTTTTCTATATTATATAGTTCTTCATAAATTATGAAGACCATATATATTTATACAAAAACCTATAAATTATGTTTTCTAAAAAAAAAAAAATGTTTTCTAGGTATTCTTGTTTTTATGTATGTTATGATATTTACATAATAGAGATACTTGAAATAACAACTTCTACAGTATATACATTATGATGTATTTTACACAATATAGTCAGAATGGTTTTCTAAATAATATTGGTATCATATATTCATGGTTAATTTATTTTATAATGAGTATATGTAATATATTAAGATAAACTTAAAATATAAATAAAAACCTAGCACAAGAATGATGAAGATAGTAAAGATTTTAAACGAGAGTTGAGGTGTTATCCTCATTCTATATGACAACAGAAGTGAATTTTTTAAAGAAGAGATTTAGCAGATGTTAATTGATAATAGTTTTAAACTCTAAAAACAAAGATGTTGTATTTTTGTTTTGGCAACATGCGTATGTATACATAGCTAAAATAACTAATTTAAGAAATTTAGTTTATTATGTCCTACTTTAACCAAATCTAATTTTGAAAAAGTTTCAAACTTTTTGCTCATCTAATATGTGAAAGCTTTAGACTCGTTCACTTATGTTTCTAGAAATAAATATAATGGTGCATGTCATATGCATGAAATGATCTGCACACTATATTGTAATTATAGGACTCAAAACTCGAGCAATCCAATTTGACAGAGATTTTTTTTACGGTTTGATAGTCTCTTTGGTACATCCGCTTTGTTACAACAAGCTATCATCTTGTTTTCGCGGTTTGATAGTCTCTTTGGTACATCCGCTTTGGTACAACAAGCTATCATCTTCTAGAACAGATGAAAAGGTAGCATACCCTAAAACTAATGATCCATCTGTTCAGACATTGAAAACCAACCTTTCATCTTAGCTTACACTGGTGCCTCGGCCCAACTGATATATCATGTTTTATTACTTTTATACCATAGTATAAGTCTTTTATAAAGTATTTATTTGGTATTTCAAGTCTGATTCAGGTTTTTTTAGGTATAGGTACGTTTTGGAACATTATAGAGATTATGCAGCCAGTTGGAGCTTAAAATGAAGAAAACTCATAGCTATACAGAAAAGCAGAGGTCAGAGTTGATATTTGGAGATAGCATTGATCGACACTCTTTTGGTGTCGGTTGACAATCATGCTGATTAAGACCCCTGGATGTGTTGATTTATATTTATCTATTTTGGCTTGTTGAACTTGGCACACTACAGTATACCATGTGACATATATAACAGTAACATGCTTAGCTTGTGGGAACCAAAATTCACACTTGTCGATTTCCGTTAAATAAGGAAACTTAGGAAAACCCTAATTTTCCAGAGGGACCGGATCTCTGCGAAAGCCAACGACAAGTAACCAAATAAATGCGGAAAAATATGAAAAAACATAATAAAACAAATTTATAAAGAAAGTCGATCTTATTTCCGATTCGCGTAAGAGCGTTGCGATCATTACAAGGAATTATAAAGGCTTTGGCCGCAGGGACCATCAGCGAGTTACAAACATAAAACCCTAGATCTAGTCGAGTCGCAGCTCGATAACGAAAAACGGAAAAAAATAGGAAAAAAGGTTTGAATGATTTCGGACTGAACCTTATGAAAGGCTGCCTACGTACCCCTTTCGGGGATCAAGTCAAACGTAGTTCAGTTGATA